GCAACTATTTCTCTTAAATACAGTGCCATCTGTCAATATCTCTGGAGACCTTTGAAAGCAAAAATCTAGGGAAGATAAATCTAGTTTCTCTAAATTAGTAATCAGTAAGATTTCCATTCTTGAAAAAATAGCAAAATATATAGCTTTTCCTTCCGAGTGGCAGAGAAGATGGAAAGAAAATTGCCTTCTTTAAAACTAGGGGCTAGTCATTTAGACAGTTATGCTGCTGTAACTCCTGGGGCTCCTTTTATACCTCTTCTGGGCTTTGCTGAGCTCCCACACAGATCCTCTGAAACCAAGATCCTTCTGGGAGTGCAAATCTTGTCTGCAAACAGTAGTGTTTTTTCTTCCAAGACAGTTAGAGAGACAACTGAGGAATGAGTAAGAGAAGCAATGATTTCCTAGTGGAACCTAGCAGATTTATGATGATAAAGGATTTACAATGAATGGGATTGCAAAACACATGACGGAGAGCTAGGATTCCTCACTGCTCTCTAGCTCTTCCTTCTTATCTATTGTCTCTGTGAATTTTTTTGTGTAATCTAGTTACACCCATCCACTCATGTATATAGCAGAGACCCAAATACTGCTTCACAGGTCAACGATATTTCTGTAGTCTGCTGCAAGATCTTTCTCTCTTCTTTCCAGGTACTTTGTTTGATTCTATACCTTTCAATATGTGAGGAAGGACTTACTCTACGAAACAGAACTCTGTGCATCAGCAGTCTTTATTCTTAAAAATATGAATTATTTAAGCCTAAAAGCCCATCATCTCTCTTAAAGAATGACTCATCTCCACTGTGCGTCTACTGGGGTTTTTGTTAAGCCTGAAGAGGTCATTCACATGGGCTAGAGGACACGAATTCCTGTTATTGAACCAAGGTTTAGCACAGGATTGAACTCAGGGCTCTCCTGGTCCACTAGATACCCTAAGCAGTGCATTCTAGGTGGGCTGTGGTGTTTCTTCTTTCTCCTCCTCTCACTCTTTACCTCAAAGTACCATCCTGAATCAGAAAAATCTTTCAAAATGAATGTTTCCTCAAAAGCTAGTGCATTCCAGCAGAAAGATCCTTTTTGACAAACTGATGTTTTCTGATGGTAAACATTTTTGACTAAAACTTCCTATCTGCCTCTGCTCCTCCCGTGTGCCACACATCCTGTCTGTCTTTGAGTCACCTGTGTCCCTATGACCATGTTCGTCTCGAGGCTGAACTGTCTTTTCAGTCTTTTCAAGTTCACTGTACTTTCTGTCTCCCTTCCTAAGAGCTCTATGTTTGTGGAAGCCCACTTCATGCTTCTTTTTTTCAGAGGGTGTAGCAGCAAAGAGATTTTGTCCACTCCTTTTTGTTTGGTCAGCCTTTATCAGGCCCTGCCTTTAGCCTTTATTCCCTATTCTAAACATATACTTCTGTTTACGTGTTCTTGACCATCTGTTATAAATTATTATGACTGTTCTTCAATCTAATGTATTATTAGAGCTTAGAGACTACGTTTAGACTCGCTCATTCCATGGTGGCAAAATTTTGTTTCTTCCTTGTGGCTACAGCATACAGTTTGAGTTTTGTTATTTTCTATTGTGCCGATTAGTCAACAAAGCCAATGGCAAAGAATTTTGTGAGGGATTTTGAGGGATTTTGAGAATTTTCTATAGCAAGATTAACCCATCAGGTAACAACATCAGTAAACATTTCATATCAGTTCTGTATTTGGTTGTTTTGAGGTTTGGGGGTGGATTTTTTTTCTTTTATTTCAACATTCTGGTCTTCATTTGATTTACTTTCACATTAGCTATGTGTGTATTACATTATAGGTATGCAGTGTAATTATAGATGAACTGTTTCAGCCTTTAGATAAAGCAGACAAATGTTAAGTACTCAGCTGATCTTAGTCTGCTCATATGAGCTACCGAATGATGAACACTCTTAAAAATCCATTGAAAGAAGAGAAGTTTGGGAAGTTCAGACCTTAGCTTTATGCTATTAATTGAGTCTGAGACGGCAAGAATATTTTCTAAATAATATGTGCCTACATGCAGGTACTGGGAGGGAAGGGATCAATTGCACCTTCAAAGCATTCTAAAGCTTCTTTCCAACTTTTATCTACTCTGAACACAAATATACAAACGAAGACTTTGCATTCTGACATTTAATGATAACAAACTGCATAAAGTGATGGATGTTTATATACAGACTCCTCCTAGGTTACTCTGTTTTTTGGTAAGCAGTATCACTTAATATCCACAAGCAGCTTTGTTACTTTTAGCAAATTCAAAGAAAGTGTGTTGCTTAAGGAGGTCAGATGTCTTGATTTGGGTATCAACTGACATTTATATTTGCTTGTTAAACTTTTACAGCTTTAGACATATGAACATTGCTTGAAAGCATGCAAACTGTTAGCTCCAGTTTTGATGCTGTATTTCTATATTAGTATTTAACATAGTTAAATGTGAATTGATAGGGGAGATGCTTTGTTTCACGTCAAGGTTAGAATAGAATTAACAGAAATAGAGTTTGGTTGAAAAAAAATCTTATTAAACCTACTGTTCTAGAGAAGTAGTTTTACCATTTCAGCCTATTCTGAGACAAAGAAGACAACAGGTCCTGTTTCTCGTTCATACCTGAAACTAAATGATACAGCTTCAGTTTTGGGAGCGTTGCAATCAAAATAAAAATTAAAAAAATAAAGAAAAGTTCTCCCATCTCTAACTACTCTATTTAGCAGTGTATAGCAGTGTATATATACATAGCAGTGTAGCAAGGCAGAGTTTGAACTTTTAAGGAAAAGATTCTTTATGGCTTTCTAACTTCAGAAAAGTAATGTACCATGGAGAGAAATAGAAAAATATATAAAATTGTTTTGATAGGTTCCTGAAATAGGTTTCACAGAGCCCAATATTTTTTTGTGTAAAATGCCTTAAATCACTTTCTGTAGGGCTAATGCAACTGAATTCATTTCTGTATATAGCCTTTTATAATAATTACTTCGGATGCAGCACTAAACTTTCCACTGCAATCATACACAGCCTTACGATTACTAACTACAACAGATGGACTATGGAAGCTCTGCTTTATTAGCTGTAAATACATTTTCAGTCCAATTTACATTTAGAGCTTGGAAGTGAGAAGTGGTGATGGTGCCAAAAGCACCAAGACCTACCTGACAGGCTATTCCTAAGTTCTCTCAGGCTTGAAATCCTCTCCTGCTGACTCCTTATCCTTTCATCCCATTTGTCTTCATGAAAACCAACTGTGTCTTAGGGCCTATAGTCATCCACATAGCACGAGGCACATCAGTGAGCACCTCACTCAGCGGGGAGGTCTTCCTCAGACTCTGGAGGAACTCAGAAGAAATGGGCACTGCCAAATCTGGACTGCCCTTGGGGAAGGGGCCTATTTCCCTTCCCTACGCAGGCAGGCTGAGATGACATGCCTGTAATTTAGGCACCTCACTTAAGTGCCTGTAGTTAGATGCCAGTGGTGAGACTGGGGGATCCAGGCTTAGCCCAGACTCTTTCCTGTCCTGCTCCTTGTCGGCACAGTGGTATTTCATCTTCATGCCATTGCTGGAGTGAGGAGTCGAGAGGGAGTATGGGGAAGTCATGATATAAGGAGTCCTTCATTTCTTGGCCGCACCAACCTTCATGTAGCTAAATGTACAGCTTAGTCTGTGCTGGTTGTTATGAATTCTGGGTAATGCTGTTATGTCTACAGTCTTCTTCATAAAATATCTGAATCTGTCAACTTTCCTAGCTGTGACCATGCAACACGGCTGCCTTCAACTCCATAGGCATAAGGGGATGGGGTTCAAAATGATCTCTTCTGAAATCCCAGATGCCTTTCACAGGCTGGTGAAAGCAGTGCACAGGGCTCAGGCCAGCTCAGAGAGTTAGCAAAGAGTAAGGTACCAACACTGAAGGACAGCAAGCAGATTAATATAGTGCCTCAAGAGTGAGAACTGCGATAAAGATACCCTTCAGGTTTAACCATTAATGCACTTAGTCATTTGTCAAACTCAGCCCTTACTGCTTCAACAAAAGGAGAATGCACATTTTCTAAGAGGTCAGTGTAGAAGGAAGATTAATATTCGCTAGATAATACTGACAAGCCTCTAATACACCTTGTTCAAAGTAGCTGATTGTTATGACATAAAATAATTTCCAAAAGCTGAAAATAACTAAGTGCAACTTCCTCTGAACTTCCTGCCATCTCTTGGGACTCCAATAGCGGAAATCCTTTTCCTTTCCCCTACCCTACTATTTAGGGATTGGGACTTAACATGTAGCAGACCAGAAGTCCAAGCTGTAAAGCATTCATCCACCCTGCTTCTAACTTTCAAAGTCTCCTGCTCTCACGCTATTTTCCTTTTTGTGTTTCTAAGAATGGCACACGCGTATAGTGTATGTGAGCGTGTACATCTCTCCCTGTACACACATTTATTTACACATACACACACACAGATGTCTACATACATACAGCCAAAAGCCAGTAAATTTCAAGTGCATACAGTATAAAAAGATCATTGTATTGGAAGGACTCCATTTACGACAATGCTTGACACAGACCTGAGCGGCAGAATCCCAGGCTGGGACTTCTGCTTTAGAGATGGTTATAACTTGGGTCTCTATGAATGTTATTGCAATTTTCTGAAATAACTGTGGAAAAGGGTGAGTGCAGATATTATTTGGCAACACCTGCCAATGCTAGTAAGGAAACTGTAAAAAAAAGAGAACTATAAAGATTAAAACAGCAACCTAGATGATATCTCATTTTTAGTATTCTGGGGCTTTGCTGTTATGAAATTTGTTATTTCTTGCTCTTGATCTGACATGAAAAAAACCTTTAAAAGCTCACCAGGTCTTTCAGGACCCTTGCCTCCTTCCCACTTTCAGACTACCATAATTGCTAAATGATGACTTTTCTATATTTATGAAAATATATCCTTCAGAAGTGAAAAAGGTAAAATACTGAGCAAAACTTTCATCCTGTTTTCATTTTTTTAAGATGAAATTCACAGTACGCAGGAGAATGTGTATCATTTCTAACAGCATCATCTGGCCTGCCCTTACTGAATTACAGATTTATAATCATACTGCCACTGTCCATCATCCAAGAACAACATGACACAACAATACACCATGGAGTACCTGTGCAGCTACTGGATCTTTTTCATCACATTTTTCCTCAACACTTTGCTCCACGGAGTTTTGATTAGTAGAAATGCATTCAGAATCCCTTGTGGAAAGAAAGGAGGGATGTTTTTGACATTTTCAAGACAATCTCAGATGGTTCTGTTTGGCCCATTGCTTTTTCATTTACCCATGAGACTTTACTAAGTCCAGGGCACAACAGTTAACATAGTTTTCACAGAGCAGTGTTCAGTAATGTAAATATCATTTCTTCCCTCAAGGCTTAGATGGAATTCTATGTTACTTAAACTTGCTTCTTCCATGTTTTGTCATGTCAGGGATGTTAAAGATGATATTTGGAAATCACAGAACAGCCAGACCATAAACTGCTGTGTTCCTGTCCATTAGTAAGAAAAGTTTGACTGCAGGGATATTTTGTTGGAAGGGTTGTATTAACAGTCATTTACACACACACACGCATATATATATATATATATATATATATATATATTTGTAGAGCTGCACCTGCTTCTTTCATATATATTTGTAGAGCTGAACCTGCTTCTTTCATGTACCTTGAAATTACTACCAGATAATGAATGACCTCCTATTAAACTCATTTTTTGTAACTGCATCTTCCTAAAATATAGGCATTAGAAGATCTTGCTGCTCTACCGAGGTAATTTTGCCTGGTACAATATTGTGTTACTAGACAACGGCATTTGATAAAGGCCGTACATTTTATCTTCTAAATCAATACTTTCTTTTGCTGCCTATTGGAAAAAAAAAGAATTTTTTAGTGCTTACATCACATTGAGAGTTAGGGTAGGATTGTAATATTCGGTAACAGACTGAGACAATAACTAGCATTCTTAAAGATTAATTTTATTTGCCTTGCCTTTTGCCTGCAAATGCTATCCACATAACGCTTTTCAGACAGATTATACCTTGTTAGTTTCCCTGCTTCATAGTATACATATATTAATGAGTACATGTTTTCATTGACAACAGTGTAAGGCAAGTTATTTCTCTCATAGTGTTATTCTACTGTTTATTCATATGCATATTTTAAATTTGCAATGGCTTGTTGTAAAGTCTAATTGATTGTCACTGATTACTAGCCAAAGCTTTGCTTTTGTTAAGACACAGTTACATAAAATTCTGATCATTACATGAAAGTTTAATTCTGGTTATTAGACATTAAGGATATTCTTCTCAAAATCAAAAACTCTGTGACTGCCAGTTTATCTCCACAAAGACACTTTGTTAAAAATATTAGAAAACACATTGTTTCCAATTGTCTTTATTGTGAGAAATGAGAGACTTTCCTCAGTAAAACAAGATATATTATACTGTGTATTAATCTTGCCGTAATTGGACTGGTAGAGCATTAAAAAATTGAATCTATGATTAACTAAGTCTCCATAGCAATAGCTCACCTAAAAAGATCTGATTGCTTGTGAGGAAAGTCTTACTGATGACACACAAAGTCATATATGCAGACCATCTCCTATAGGTATCCAGTTGCAGCTGCTATTGTGGCATAGAATGTCAGGAGAGCAAGGAGGGCAAGGAGCATGTCAAGCTGTCTATACCTAATGCCATGCAATCTTGACCGCCTATACAATCATCAGACAGAAGTAATGAAACATATTCTGTCCACCTGCTGTAGGTGCATAAATTACATGTTGCGCCAACTTCTCTCCGTTAACAGTACAGAGAAGCCTTGGTCTGGCCGCATAGTAGTGGTGTGAATGATTCATATCTCCAGCTTAGAAACCTTTACAGACATGCACAATGCCATAGTAGATGGTCTGCACATAGCCCATTAATACTGAATTAAGTATTGAAGATATGTGATGAGTAGTAGTCATTTTTGGTGAGGTAACTATCCCCATGATTACAGGCAAGGACTCTAATATGACTTCTCCTTTCAATTCAAAGTTTAAAAGTGTAACAGTAGTAATATGGACAACATAACTTCAGCTGTGTGAGGACTATGCAATGGAGGACCAGAAATGCCTTCCCCAGCCTCTCTGGCCCTCCTTCCATTGAAGCTAGTGAGAGTTTGCCATTGACTCCAGTATGAGGAGAAGCATATCCAACAAGTTTGATACTAACCATTTAAATTTTTGCTTGTAGCCTCAGTGTCTACTTATCAAACAACACTGATGACACTTACTTTATTAGTTCATAATTACAATAGTAATAAAGTGTGGGGCAATCTTTTACACTGTTGCTAATATATTCAGTACTGTATGTATATATACTTGACACCTCAGTGAAGACTTTGACATGCCTTATTCATTCTAGTTATTTTTATGGTATTGGTTTTGTTAGATTGCTTTACCATATAAAGAATAAAACTATAACTGCTCTGACTTAAAATTGTCCAATTCATTTTTATCCAAAGTGTGTTAAACAAATCTATCCTTGTTCCTCAGTTCTTCTCATTTAGTCTTATTACCCCTTCACTCACACCATGAAGGCAATGTACAGTGGTGGTTTGAGAACAGGGATTTGGTATTCTCTGATGGACTCCAATAAATATCTGAAGTAAGGACATGCTTTGTGTCTTGTGGTTTCTTAGCTGTAAAATGAAATGTGCTCCCTAAAGGCCAGCTATGTTAATCCCATGATTGCCAGCTACTGTCACAAGGTAAGATGAATCTAAAAAAATTCATGAGGAGTTCATTCTTCAGCATTCTTTTCCAGTTATATTTATGTGTAAAGGATATTCCTCTAAAATCTGTCAGAGAGCTGAAGAATCTTGTGGAAATGTCGGAAGTCACGACATCAAAGCGTGAAATTTCAGGCAGTGCTTATTTATTCAATTATTCTCTTACAAAAGGTGAGAGCTTTCTGGGACAGTATGTAAAATAGATTTTAAATTGACACTCACAATTGTTATTTTCACCTACTTATTAATTCTGAATCAGTTAGATTGAGAGCTCATTTAATGGTGGAATGTTATTCCATCTGTTGAATCATAATAAACACCATCTTTTTATATAAGGGTATCTATAATATACGAAGTCTTAGAATGTAAATCAACCTTGTTCCTTAAGAAATGGAGCATTTGGCCCAAAGAGGGGTCTGTTTCTTCATTTTAATTTATTTGACCGTTTCTAATTACTGCTATGGACTCTAAGATCTAATATTAAGTCTTTAAATTATAGATAGAGTGGCCTTAAAATTCTTCTGTTGATTCAGCTCTAAGTTTAAGGGCTCTGTTCAGTTGCCTACATAGTGGTGTCTGGTGCCATCTGAGATGTGTCACATCTTCACAAAACCATCAAACGTAACACAGGACCTACAGAACATCTGCACCCTTCTGGGTTGGCGACTGGACTTTAGGTGGGACGGTCTCAGGAGTCTTACAGGCAACTAAGATGACTATGGCACAGGCATCTATGGCAAGATGCCTATGGATTCTGCCTGTGGAAGAATCAATTTCCTAAATGTGGGTGAGCTGAGTCCCACCCTTACCTGGTACACACCTGGATTTAGGTGAACTGAATTTCACCATGGGATGGGATATAATTGTCTAAATATAGGCATCTAGTGCCATTTTGGATACTGTAGGGTTCAATTCAGTTGCCTGCTGAATGTGTTGTGCATCCTATGTTTACACCCTTAAGCCCATGCTTTCATCCTGGATTTTCTAAGGTGTCTCAAAAGGCACTAGACACCTTTGTGGGGCTCATTGAATGAAGCTTCTCTAGCACTCCTGGTACCTGTATGTAGCTGGCAGATCTGCTGCAGAGCATGTGGGAAACCCATGCCTTCCTGGAGCAGGGGCTGAAGACAGTACCCGGCACTATCAGCCATCTGAAACGGCACTGTATTGCTTACCTCTGGGTACCGACAGTGTGTGTCTCAGATAAATAAAGTGAGCTGCCCTCTGGGGGTCGCTGAATTTAGAGAGACCAGATCACTTTAAAACAGTAAATGGTGAAAGAATCATTTGAGCTGGATTGCAAATGCACTCACTTGATTGGACGTGATCCCTGTGCTCCCCATTCTAGACACAAACCTGAGTTTTCAAGCAAAAAAAAGAATATTTTTGCAGTTTTCACGCTCTGAAAATTCCAGGTTCTAATAATTTTGCAGTATTCGTTATTTTCTTAAGGCAAGGCAAACCTTGCTGTGCATGATTTCTTGCTCTACAAGGAGGAAAAACCAATTGCTTATTGGAGAACAGCTTAGTAGAAGCATCCATTTAAATTCTGCTGCTTGCCTGAAGAGACATTAACTGCAACAGTGGAAAGGTTCTTCCGTGAATCATGGAAAACCTGAGAATTAGTAAGTCCTATTAATTATTATTCTTTTCTCAGGCACCTTCCACAAGGTTCTATTAATTAGTGATGTCTTGCTTTAAATCCTGCTGGAAAAGAATGAAAATGAGAATTGCTGGAGATTTGATTCAGTTAAGTGTCCAAAATGTAGCTGCCTATTCTAACCCTCCTGAGCCCCCTTAGTTTAGAAATACTATGAAGACAATTTTCTCTGCCAGATTTCTGATATTTGTTTCATGACTGTATGAAACATTGCAAGTCTATTATGACATTTTTGACTTATCAGCATACAAATAAAATTCAAGAAGAAAGAAATATGACAAAGTATTTCAAAAAATTGAAAACAAGAATTAGATAACTGTTTGAAAACAACAGATGCTTTTATTTGAATGGCGAGTAAAAGTTATGATCTGTTCTTTTACTTCTTAGAGATGATATTTGAAAACCAGCTTTTACCACTGAAATGATATTGAAATACTAAATCCTAGGGATTTACTAAATTTATTAGCATGCTGTTGTTTTAATATACTATTGGGTGTAACATCATATTTGTATCTCCAAAATGCATATCCAGTCACTTGAATGTATGGGTAGTAGAGAAGGATTTCTGAAATAAAGGCAAACGTTAATAAATCCAGTCAACTGTTCGCACTTATCCAGGAGAAACAGTGGCTTAACAAGACATTTTCTGATGTATTGTTAAGCTCAGACATACCAGAGAGCTATCAAATAAGGCTGCCAACCTGATAAAAAATGAACAGGTGTCAAGTGTTTGCAGTATGATGCGAATGTCGAAAAAAACTCCTTTGGAATTTGAATCAGCATGAAGAAGGGTATTGTATTATACACAGAGAGATGGGAGCCCTCTTGCAAACAGCTACACCTCACCCATCACGTTCACTTCTGAGTTCAGCTTCACCTGGCTGAGACTGGCACACAGGGCTGGGCAGCGCACACAGTCAGAGCGCTATGGGGATAGGGCTATGAGAAATTATTAAAAATATGAGGAGTTTGGAGAAGGACTTAGCTCACAGAAACAATTCAGCTTTGAAATTTGTAATTGCCATAAATAAATTATTAGATAAGATGATGAGTATGGCAGAGAGGGGAGAGGGAAAAGGAAGAAGTCCAAAAAGTGTGCAGTAATAGAATTAAGAGAAAGATTTTGAGCTA